GAGAGAGGGGGAGAGAGGGGGAGAGAGGGGGAGAGAGGGGGAGAGAGGGGGAGAGAGAGAGAGAGAGAGAGAGAGAGAGAGAGAGAGAGAGAGAGAGAGAGATCAGGAATCAGGTTGGGACACAGATTTTAAAAAAATGTGTTCAAAGAAAGTGACATTAAGATTTTTTCAAATTTACTAAAAACTATAAACTAACATATCGAAGAAACTCAGTGAACACCACGCTACATATCAAAGGTCAGTCAATTAAACTGCTCAAACCCCGTGACCAGGAAGAAATCTTCCAGAAAAAAAGACAATACACAGAGAGGAACACGGACACATTTAACAGCAGAGCTCTCAACTGGAACAATGCAAGGGAGGGAGGAGAGGAGCAGAATCCTGCACGCACCGGTAGAAAACACATGCAACATCAGCTTAGACGCCGCATAAAAACAGAGGCAAAAGACAACTATTTAATACATGTAAAAGGAGGCACACGGCAACAAGATGGTGAGCAAGGAGAAAAGGAAGAAAGAAAGACCATCCAAGTGAAGTTCCAGGGTGGCCAGGAAGCCCGCGGTGTCCTGGTGCTGGAGGGAACCATTGAGTACACGTTTACATGCGAGACCTTGTTGACCAGTACAAGCTGACAGAGGACAAGTGGCAACTGGGGCTCATAGTGTATTGTGGCACCTCAGTGGTGCTCAGCTGCCCGCAAGATGACACAGAGGCCATCCCCAACCCCTTCGTGCAGCAGCAGGACATTTAGCAACCAATGGAAGGTGGCCTGGCTCCAGGGACCTACCTTTGGTGGAGTTTGGTGTTTTAGTCTTTTTTGCTCTTTGTTTTTAAATAAAATGGCCCACGTGAGAAAACAATACAATAAAAGCTGAAAGAACTTATCCCTAGTGATCCTCACCAAAAGAAATGCTAAAGGAAGTCCGTTAAAAGAATTCCAGAAAATGATAATTCCAGATGGGAGTGCCAATCTATCAGAAGGACTGATGGCATAGTATGAGAGCTATCTAATGGTAAATAGCCCAAATACTTTTCTTATGAATTAAATTTCTCTACCATATTCTTGACTGAGCAAAAGTAATAGTAATAGATCAGGTTTATAATACACAGAGACATGAAATATAAGACAAGCATAGCATAAAGGTCAGACGAAGAGAAACCGAAGTGGATTATCACAAGCGTCTTATGATTTAAGGTAGGCTAAGAAAAATTAAAGATGTGTGGCATAAATCAAAAAGGAAGCCCCTAAAATAGCCAAGCAAAGAGCTACAAGTAACAGATCAACAAAGAAGATAAAATGAAACTGTACAAAATGTCCAATAAATCTTGAAGAAGGGGGAGGAGGAGACAGTGATGTCATCCACAAAGATCAGATGTGAGTAATAAAAACCATGTAGCAAAATGTCAGAATAAAACTAACCATATGAGTAAGGATGCTAAAGCAGACATTTTAAACTTCTCTACACACATGCACATACACATATACAGGCACACACATACACATGCACACATACACACACTCAAACACACATGCACACACATACATACGCATACACACATACACATGCACATACAGGCATACACATACAAGCACATACATACACACGCATGCACATACATGCACATTCACACACACACACATACATACAAGGCTACATACCACATACACATGTTCACTCTGTGCTTCAGATGAGCCCCACCTGTCTTTGTGGCTGGCCTTTAGACAGAGACCTCTGTGATCAGCTTCTTATGACACTATGACAGAAAGAAACCCATGAAATACCAGGCTGTTGCTGGGTGACTCCTTTCCCATTACCAATTCTTCTTCTTAGGGTAGAAGAATTCCATCTCACACAGATGAGAGGTTTCTGAACTGCCTGCAGAAATTGGGATAACCGGTCCAACTGTCTCTCTGCATGCTCACAGCAAAGCTTTCCTGCCCTGTCCAAACTGACTCAATGCTCCTAAAGCCTAGCTGATCCCTCTAAGAAGCATTTAGATTCTGGAGGGAGTGTAGTTAATGATTTGTGTGTATGTATATTGAGATAGGTATATCAATATATACATATATATACCAATATATACATATATACATATACACATACACATAC